GTTTACAGATGGTAAAAAAAGTTATAAGTTCCTATTCAAAATATGTTTAAAATATTTGAAATTTACTATTGAATAAGGTTTTTGTTGAAAACTAAGTAGTTTGTATTTAGCTAAAATCTATTATAGCACGAAAAATTGTAGTTGATAGGTTAAGTTTATGAAAAGGCATTGATGAGTGGCAACAGTGTAGTAAGCAATACTGAGGGCTCCAGTAATCGACGAAATTCTGCGTATAAAGACTGCGTTTAAGTATACGTTCTGCGTTCTCGACTAATTTCAGCTTCTCTCTCTGTCAGAAGTTACCAGCTTTAGGGCCGGTTACTCAATGTCTGGTTAACACTAATCTCCGTTTAAACATCATTATCGACGTGTTCGGCTCCATGCATATAACATGGAGTGGGTAACGTCGACAACGATGTTTTACCGGAGATTAGTGTTAACCAGACATTGAGTAACCGGCCCTTAGTCCGAGAATTTTTTGCTGGTAAATTCTGGTAAATGTTTTAGGGCCGGTTACTCAATGTCTGGTTAACACTAATCTCCGTTTAAACATCATTATCGACGTGTTCGGCTCCATGCATATAACATGGAGTCGGTAACGTCGATAACGATGTTTTACCGGAGATTAGTGTTAACCAGACATTGAGTAACCGGCCCNTGCTAATTCATGTTGAAAAGTATTTAATTACTTGTTTAAGTGGATTCTAATGAATTTGAAAGTATTTTTGGTTATTTACATGTGTGAGCTGAGTGTGTTCGATCCCGTACTTTTCAATGTTACTCCCTCTCTCTGAGCGAATTTTTATTTTTTGACAGTTTTACTAGTTTTAGGGCCGTTTTCACCATCCCTGGTTAACACTAAGCCCCAGTTAAACATTGTTACCGACGTTACCGACCGAATGTTAAGTGAATGGAGTCAGTAACGTCAGTAACGATGCTTAACTGGGGATTAGGGTTAACCAGAGATGGTGAAAACGGCCCTAAGTCTTGCTATCTTTACGTGGTATAGATATGGCAATTTTTATCAGTTATCGTTATGGTTATTATTTTTTATCGGTATCATCGATACCGATTTGTCAGTTACAGTTATGTTGTTGTTGTTGTTGTAGCGGCTACCACAGCCCCGCCCAGGACGGTTGGTATCTCATTCGTTGTAGTCAAGTTCCACTAACGGCAACCCTAGGAAGCGTGCAGCTTCTGTGGGGTTTGTCCACAGGGACAAGGCCGTTAGGGTTGTCCGGTTTTCCGGGCATGCGAAGAGATGTTTCGAGTCATGTGGGGTCTCTCCGCATGCCGGACACTCATTCGGCACATCCTCATTCAACCTACTCAAGTAGAAGTTCAACCTGCAGTTACAGTTATCGTTTGCAGCGGTTTCGATATCGGTTTTCTGTTAGTTTTCGATATATTTGCCGATTTTTTAACGATGTCGGCATAGAACTTTTATCGATATCGGTGTCGATATTCTGCTTGGTGTCGATATTGATTTTATAGTAATAGTATGTAGATCCAAATTTTGTTCTGCCGAAACCCGAAATGCTAATACCTCTGTAAACGAAGAAAAACATTTACACCATTTTCGGTTTGTGCCATGGGCCAGCCGTAAAATGTTTGATCTTCTTTCAGAAAGAAACTCCCTGAAAGTGGTTCTGAGAAGAATCTGTATAAATCCAAGTGATGATAGTGAAAGTACTCTGTTGAGCTATACTCTGATTTCAAGTTCGAACGACGGTCATTACCCCTGGCCATTGAAAAGAAGTAACTTTGGCGAGAAAAGATATTCCGTAATGTTACAAAATTCCCAAATCGTTCCCTAAAAATGTTTCGATAACAGTTAAAGCTACTGCAACAGTAGCAACGACAATGAGAACTCCACATTGCGTTTTTCAGACGTTATGGCGTTCGGCGTCCAGTTCGACACATAATCCTAAAAGCCTAAGAATCTTGTAATTTCCTTGGTAAACAAACCAAGGCGATTTTATTTTGAATCGCCTTAAAACAAACATTTCTTTACACATCTAATTTGGGCTCAAGGCGATTTTATACAAGTTGGTGCAAGGCGAATTTATACATATAAATATGCAATATATTAATAATAATATAATATATATATAAAAATATACATATATATGTATAAATTCACCTGGAGTTGGTGTTACTAGAACTCGCCGCTGTCTTTCTGAATGTCAAAATGGTGTGTTCGTTGTTTTATCGGACTTCTTGCCGTCATTGTGCGTATAATTTGTTAATGTAATTTGTTTTTGTTTTGTCAACGCTCTTCTTCTTCTTATTTGGCGCTGTAACCGCCTAAGCGATTTTGGCCGAGTCCAAAACAGCACGCCAGTCATTTCTCTTCTGTGCTAACTGACGCCAATTGAAAATGCCAAGTGAAGCCAAGTCCTTCTCCACCTGGTCTTTCCAACGCAGAGGAGGCCTTCCTCTTCCTCTGTT